TAGTCCATATTTAAAATTTAAATTCAGAACTGAATTATTTTCAAGCTTTTTATGTAGCCTTCTTAATTTTCTATGCATATTTATCCTTCAAATTTACTTACAACAACAAAATAATTATTAGCTGAATATCTTAGCATACCCACTAATTTCAAAATAACAATTCAGATTTTCAACTATTTTCTCTGATTCACGTACCAATCAGCACTTGAGACTTCCAATTGCTTTTCTCATTTAGAATTTTGCAGCGAGGATTTTTAAGGCTTGATATTTTCTTTAAGTGGCTAGAACCTGGACCTTTATTATCTCTGTTTAATTAAAACAGATCATTTTTCATTTCCTAGATTTCCTGAAGGTCCAGATGGATGTAGACTGCCGGGTGGACAAAATACTGAGAAATAAGCTTTGGGTGCAGTTAGTAAAAATGGGCACTGCTTACTTTTTAATGAGATATGGGAAGGGAGGACACCATGGTACATACTGAGAGATCTCTCCCAAGGCACACAGATAAGCAGTGGTTGAGTCCTAAGATTAGCCATTAGGGATTAAGTTCAATGCTTAGTTGTTCAACCTAATTTCTACTTCTTCCCACATATTCACTCACTTACATACCAACTCAAGTAATTATCCACTCACCTATTTCTTATTACTTTACTTAATTACATAATTATTTTATTTTGCTTCATTGCATAAGTATTTAATGATTTCCAGGAAGAATCAAGGTTAAGAGAGAACAAGAGCTGACACAGGAGAGAGCACCAGTCTTTAAAAGTGAACATATCCCATAAGTACAGAAAATGTCATCCTAAAAGCAGTTTTGATTATTCTTGGTTAAATTAATGTGAGTCACCAATAACACTATTTCTGTTCCCCAAAGCCTGCCTGAAAAGATTGTTTTCCACTGCTGATGTTGAGATCAGGGACTTTTTAGAAGTCTAGCTTCCAGTTGGTAGTTCTGGGGAAAATTTGAGCTTATTTTCTTCCTCCTTAATCCTTCCGTTTCCAGAAATAAAACATGCTTTCCAGTTTCCTAAACTTGTTATTCGTGTTTGCTAAAAAGTCATAAGTACAGTTGATAGTTGATGCATTTGTCCAACAGAGATGTTAGCATGTGTAAACAACTATCTAAGATATAGGGGAGGATCAGTCATGGATTTTAATTTTAAACAATTTCTATTCTCTGAACTATCTTAGATCTTTAAAATTTAAAGACTAAATATACTGATTACATGCTATCCTTCACTATAAGACTCATTTTGGGAATTTTTAAAGCTCAAGATCTAAGATGGAGATAATGAGTAATCATGCTCTGGATCTTTATGTCACCTCAAATATGTAGAATAGTATTATTTTGGATGAGATTTTGAACTTTGACATTCTCTGAAGGAGATTCTTAGGAACACTGATCTGATGTCTGAGAACTCTGTCTCTAAGTTGTGTATATAAATTGTGGAGTTATTTTGAATTTTAGTAGTTAAAAATATAACTCTGCTATCATATACATATAGGGTTTATACATGAAGTTTAATGTGGGATCCTGTAATGTCTACAGTCAGAATCTTGGTCTCAACATTTTTATTAGTCACTTTTTTGCTGCTGTGATAGAAACACCATGAGCAAGGGAACATATAAGAGTTTATTTAGCTTTAAGTTCCAAAGAGACAAGAGTCCATCATGGGGAGAGACATGGCAACAGAGGTGGCTGGTGTAAGAGCAGAAGCTTAACTCTCACATCTTCAAGCAGGCACAGGAATCAGAACACAAGTGGAGATCCAACAAGGCTTAAGAACTCTCTAAGCCCATCCCCAGTGAGGTGCTTTCTCCAACATGGTCACACCCTCTAAGACCTCCCAAATCAACACCACCAGCTGGGAACAAAAATGTTTGAATACTGGAAGCCTATAGGGCACCTTTTTATTCAAACCTCCAAATTCCACTCCCTGACTCCCTATAGACTCATGACCATATAAAATGCAAAATTCTTTTAGTCCAACCCTAAAAGTTCCCATAGTCATTACCAATCTCAATACTATTCAAAAGCCCACATGCCAAAGTTTCTTCGGAGACTCAGGGAAATCACTTAACTGTAAGTCCCTGTAAAATTAAAACACAAATTACATACTCCCAGCATACAGTGGAGCTGAATACATATTCCCATTTTGAAAGAGATGAATAGAGGCATAGTGAGGAAATATTGGATGAAAACAAGACCAAAAAACATCAAATACCAGGGCAGACACCAAATGCAGTAACTCCATGTCTGACTTCTGGGACTTTACTTCCAAAGGGCTTAGGTGGCTCAGCCTCTCCAGCTTTGCTCTGTGAAACATACATCTCTCTCTTTGGGGCTATTACCTATCCCTGTATGCAGCCCTTCTTGGCAGATGTCTCATAGCTCTGGCATCATGAACATCTTCTTGGGGTCTCTATTGCCAGCCAGGCTTGACCTTCACAGCTTCACATAATAGCTACAGGGGCTTCTTTATGCAGGGGAACCCTTCCTTCATGCTGCCTGGCCTCAGTGGAATGAATGAGCCCTTCTTTCTTGTATTTTTCATGCCTTTAAACCAGGTGAATGACACTGCCAAGTTTGGCCCCCAGCCTGCTTCATCCACTTTAAAACTTGTTCTGTTTAATGGTTTTTCTGGTAGAAAATCCCTGCAGCATTTTCCTTTCACAAGTTGGAGGATTAGCTTGGAGTGGTCTCGCCCTGGAAGCACTCTCTCCATTGCTTAAATGTATACCTCTAGGATTCTCCTTAACCACGTTAGTCTCATTATCAAAGGGATCCTCTCCTTCAGCACATGCCTTGACTCCAACATCAATCTTCCTCATGTTCTTTTTTTTTATCTAAACTGTTCATTCTATATTTCTTTTTGCCCCATTTGCTCTTTTTCACTGTAGATCTCCTTGATATTCACCATTAATAGTCATGACACTATTTTTCATTAGGCTGTCTTGAAATTTCTGCCACCATAGAACCTAGCCCTGTGCTTTTCAACTTAGCCTTAGGCAAGATTTTTGGCTGTGGCCAGACTCCAGCCAGACTCTGCCAAAATATCCAAATTGCTGCTTAAGTCCTTATTTCCCTCTAGAACTACATTGCTCTCAGCACTATTTTTTTTCCTGGTGCCTACTAGAATAGCCTGTTAAGCTCTCAACTTCTTTTCTAGCCCAAACTTCCAAGTCTTCCATATTCCTCTAAAACCCCACATGGTCAGATTCTTCTCAGCAAACAATCTACTCTCTGGTACCAATTACTTTATTATTTATTTTCTGTGGCTGTAATAGAAACACTGAACAAAACAACTTATAGAAGGAAGAGTTTATGTAGCTTGTGGTTCCAAAGGGCCAAGAGTCCATCATAGTGGGGAGGCATGGCATCAAAAATGGCTGGAGTAGGAGCAGAAGCTAAGCTCACATCTTCAAGCAGGCACAGGGAGCAGAGCACAACTGGAGATCTGCCTTAATGACTCTCTAAGCTTTTATAACTTGCTTCCTCCAACATGGCCACACCCTCCAACACCTCCCAAAACAAAACCACCAAATGGGGACAAAATACTCAAGTACTTGAAGTCTATGCGGGACATTTTCTTTCAAACCACCACAGCATTGAAGTAGTCATTAATTTCTAGAAAAAAATCATCAAAAATATCTTCTAACATAATTATATCCCAAAAGTATGGAGAGAAGATGTTTCATGAATGAAACATCTGCTCAGAAGAATTAAAGATATGAAGTAACTAACAAAAACATCCCTAGACAACACATCTCTAGGGGAATTTTCACATAGTTTGCAAACATTCCATAATTAGCTGTTCAAGAATAATGATGACTTTGCTTTCCCAATAACCTTCTTGAATGCATTTTTTACTTCTTTGTTTCTCACACTGTAGACCAGAGGGTTCAGCATGGGGATGACCATGGTGTAGAACACAGATGCTATCTTGTCAGTGTCCATGGAGTGACTGGATCTGGGCCGTAAGTACATGAAAATGATTGTCCCAAAGAAGATGGATACAGTGGTGAGGTGGGATGTGCAGGTGGAGAAGGCCTTCCTCTTTGCCTCAGCTGAACGCATCCTCAGAATAGTAGTAAAAATAAGCAGGTAAGAATTACAGATAACCAAGAGAGTGAAAACAGCATTAAATGATGTAAATGCAAAGAGTATAATATTGTTTGTATAGATATCAGAACAAGAGAGAGCCAACAGAGGGAGAATGTCACAAAAAAAGTGATCAATTACATTGGAATGACAGAAGGAGAGGTGGAAAGTGAAGGCAACATGGATGGAGGACTGCAGGAGTCCAAACATGTAGCAGCAGGTGACAATTAGGACACATATGGTACTTGTCATGGTGGTGGTATAATGCAGGGGTTTACACACTGCTGCATGCCGGTCAAAGGCCATTGAAACCAGAAGGAAAATTTCAATAATGGCAAAGGCTGCAAAGAAGAACATCTGGGCAGCGCACCCATTGTAGGGTATGATTTTATCTCCTCTGAGAAATCCTTCCATTACCTTGGGAGTGACAGCTGAGGCATAAACACAGTCCACCAGGGAGAGATTACTGAGGAAAAAGTACATGGGCGTGTGGAGTCTGGGGTCCAAAAGAATCAACACGATCATCCCCAGGTTTCCAACCAGAGTGATGAGGTAAATGAGAGAAAAGATTATAAATAGAGGCACTTGAAGCTCAATGGCATCTGTTAACCCCACAAAAATAAATTCTGTCACCTCTGAAATATTCTCCATCAGACTCATTCAGGAATTATGGCAGTCACCTAGAATAAGATGGAAAAAATGAAAAATTAATGCTATTTGAACACCATCATGAGATTTGAAGTATGACCAAGGTCTCTTAATCATCAGTCAGTGTCCTGTCCAGGAACTTGAACTGAACGCTGGGTAGGAACAGGCTGAATAAGTTACAGAGGAGCACACGAAATTTATTGCTGACCACAGCTGCCAAAGCCAGTGCGTGTTATGATTTTGGGCTCATTTCCATTTGCCTTATATTGGATATTCTTTATCATAATAACACACATAGGACACTTCTGTGCTACCTCCAATGGCTTGCAGGCATTATGGTTTAAAATATCCACTGAGAGCTTAATCAGCAGAAAGCACAGTCAGGGAAGGCGTCGTCATTCTTGGAATTATGAGGTAGACAAAACCCATCAGTACATCTCCCATCTGTGAAGAACCAAACTGTTCTTGTGGTTCTTCCTCTTTTGCTATTGTTGCTGAGGATCAAACTTGGTCTTCTGTATGTGAGATGAACATTCCACCACTGAGCCATATTGCAAGCCTGCCAACCTGTCTTTACTATCTAAAAGTAGGCAATGATGTGTGGTCTGTTCTAGGGTCATTCACACTTTTCCTCTAAAAGGGTCTCTAACTGGAGTCTTCCCTTTAAAAACTAACCAACTGAGGAAACTCATAATCTCTTGGTCAAACTTTACTATTGCTTTTACACCTTTCAGACATCAGAAACTAGAGTAAGAGGGGCTGGAGAGAGACCTCAGCAGTTAAGAGCAAAGACTGCTCTTGCAGAGGACATATCTTCAATTCCAGCTAACAACCAACCTAACTCCAGAATCTAATGCCTTCTTCTGACCTCTGTGGGCATTGCATGACACGGGTGCATTTAACACACATTCAGACACTACACTCATTCATAAAATAATAAATTTTTTAAAATATAAAGCTTGCATTTTTTTCCTAAAAGGTTGAAGTAAAGATTCAGCTTTCTCTTCATGTTATGATCTTCATTTTCCATATAGGTTACTATTCTAAGTATGGGTGTGTTGGGGGTACAGATTCTACATCATCAACCAGGCTATATTTCACAGGGCATCTGGCTGTACCCACCTCCATGGTAGCTCAGATGAACGTTACACCTAAGAGCCACATCTGATTTTAGAATCCTAAATCTCACTCATTTCTCTGAACTAGGCATCTGGTTGTACCCATCTCCGTGGTAGCTCAGATGAAACTTACACCCAAGAGCCACGTCTGATTTTAGAATCTTAAGTCTCACTCATTTCTCTGAACTAGGCATTCTCCACCTTCAAGGTGGGAGATGATGCAGCCCTTACCATAAACAAAATCAGAAGTGAAAATCGTCTCATCCTGTTCCCATGTGGCAACAAATAGGAATGCTCTTAGAAAGCTATAGGAGGTGCTAATATTTAAAATTCAAGCCATCAGAACCATTACTGTGTTTATAGTATCTCATCTTTTCATAAGTACTGCCTAATTCTCAGTACATATTATTAATATCTAGATGAGCCTGAGGAAAATAGCCTAACACTTCATACAGTCAAATGGATAAAGTGTTACAGTCTCTAAAATTCAGAGGGAAAAATAATCTTTGTTATACTCACATAGAATATTCTAAACACTATAATATTAGGTATGTTATCTCCCTCTTCATAATAACAGTCACTCCAGGATCTGATGGTTGTGAGCATGGACTATGGATGCTCTGGAACTGCTTAGTACAATGGTGATAGCAGTGGACCAAGATGAAAAGACAGCACCAGTATGTCTGTAGTATCGTGTTTACCTTCTCTGGGCTTTCTCTGTTGTTATTGTCATTAGTAATATAAAAATGGTTGGATACTGTATCCTCCCTACAGTTATGACTCTGGTATTACACAGTTATGTTACTTACTGTTGTCCTAGAAAGAAACAAGTAGTGGTACAAAGGAAGAACATGGACTGCTTCATGTCCAGAGCATTGACGGAGTGTCTACAACCAGGAAAGCACCATTCTGGAGCTTCTCTGTACCCACCAGTGGTGCTCTGATGTGGATCAGAAGCTGGGCTTGAGCCCTGGAAAATATCAAGGCAGAGATGGCAAGCTTTGCACATGTCTTAGGGGGAAGCACTGCCATGGTAGCAGTTTCTGGGGGTCTCTGGAGGATCGAGATTCCACAAAGGTCCTTCAACCTGTCCTTGGTGGAAACAGTGAAAGAAGCATTTGCATTTGTTCTGAAAGTGCTTATGAGTACTCAGGGGAATAGATGCTTACAAAAAAGATCCCTGAATATCATTCCTCTCTACTACACCCAAATTATGCAGCAAAAATAAAAACCCATTAAAATTTCCATGTAAGGCAACTTTAGATCCTCAAACAAATTTTTTTTTCTCTCAAAGGACTTGAGATGATCCCAGGATAATTTTTACTGCTATCAAAAATGATAAAATAGCTACTTTTCCTGCCACTTCAGACCTCGTCTAAGCTGTTTTTCTTCTCTTGCTTTCTTTTAAAACTTATCAACACATAATGGTTGTACATCTTTATGGTGTACAATGTGATATTTTAGTACATGAATGTGCTTTCAAATATTTCAAAGAAATATGACTAATGTTTTATGGTAGTGCATGGAAACTTATAGTTCAGTTTTGTGACTGTAATTGATGGTGGTTCTATTTACAGAGATAAACTGGCTAAAGATCTTGATAAACATCAAATCTCAACTAAAAAAAAGAAGTTACTTCTACTGACTTTACAGTATCAAGCTTCTGAGGAGCAGGTCTCAAATCCTGTCAGAGACTCGTATGTTATCCTTACAACAATGGTATTACTATTGTACCAGTGGACATATTACCTGGCTGCTTGTCACTGAAGCTTATAAGGTTCACAGATTGTTAAGACTGTTGATGCTTTTATTCCCACCACAGTCTTCATACAACTTCCTGAACCTTGACAGCTAGTTAACAGGGACCAAGCTTCCACTTCAATTCTACTTTGATTTTTCTATGTCTATGTCTGGTGTTCTTAGTAATAGGCTCTTATCAGCTAGTTCTAGTGGGCAACTAAGTGGACTGACAAGACCTTGCATTATTTTAGGGACCTTTGGGGCTTCCCTGAATACTAAATATTCATACAGAGGCATCCCATACCTGGTTCAGAGAATTTTGCTTAATAACCCTTGGGTTTTAGGAACAGCATTGTTCATACTTTGAGTGTCTCTCCCTTATAATTATTTATTTTAAATAAAGGCTGTCTTCAGAAAATGGATCTCATTCATAACATTGATACTAGCTCCAGGAACCTGGTTAGACAGGCCATAGACCATAGGGGGAAAACCTATGAAATGGACATAGTATTAAACCTACTCTTACTGACTTATTGTGATAACCATAGATTATTGCAGCTTTCAGCTATCACCAGATAAGTTTCTTCTTCCAGCAGATAGTGATTAACACAGAGGTCCAGGGTGCGTCAACATGGAGAGAAAAAGAGAACACAGAGGGTTTAGCAATGAATGGGGCACCTGTATCACATTCTGTCCTCCTAAGGGTCAGGGATCAGGTAGACAAGATAGAAGATTGCAAGAACCAAAGGTGGTGGATGGCCACACAAGGAAACAGTAATTTCCAAACATCAGTGTAGTTACTCATATGAATTTACAGCAGTGTGACAACATGGACAAGAGCTCCACAATCTTAGACCAGAAAAAATCCCAATATGGAGGGAGAAAGGTAGCAAGAATCCCCTTCCCTAGCTGAGGAACTATTGCTAACTGCTAGCTGATGGGAGTGTGGGAGAGTTAGCTTTCTTTAAGGATGCTGAATATGTTGACCAGGCTCCAGGGGATGGGCCCACACTGCAGGGCATTTGGGAACACAAATTAGACTGGACAGGCCTTTAAAAAGTAATAATACAGGACATGAAATCTGGTACGGGAGTAGTAAAGTGGGGACAGAGATAGGGGAGGGGTCTGAATATGATCAAAATAAATTGTATGAAATTCTCCAAAATCAATAAAATAGTCTAAAACTAAAATGTGCTTTAATTGCCTTAGAAAGTAATTGGTTTCCATATTTTTATGCAACCTTTGTTCTCATTAGTTCTCCCTGTTCCATTGCTTCCCCAGTCCCTACATCCTCATTTCTGATTAAACCATTCTACCCTTAGTGTCCCCCTTCTCTACTTTCAGAGCACCTATGTTCCACCATCCTTCCCCGCTTAAGGAGTACACAATCCTAATGATCCCTTTGTAGTTTCTTGGCTTCTACAAATACTCCAAGTTAGTTATACAAATCTAAAAACTTAAAGGTAGGATCCACATATGAGGGGGACCATGCAACATTTGTATTTCTGTGCCTGGGTGACCCCACTCTATATTTTTTTTAGCTCCTTCCATTTATCTGAAATTTGCATTTTTCTTTACAGCTGACTAATACTCCATTGTATTTTTTAACACATTTTCATTATCCAGTCATCAGTTTGATGGACATTGAGGCTGATTCAATTTGCTAGATATTGAAAATAGAACATCAGCGAACATGAATAAACATGTATCTCTGCAGTAGGATATATAGTACTTTGGGTATCTCCCCAGAAGTGGTACAGTTGGGTCATACACCAGTTCTGGTTCTATCTTTAAAAAAATTGTTTTAATTGCTGGGTATGGTGGTATGCACCTTTAATCCCAGGACTCAGAAGGCAGAGGCATGCAAGTCTCCGTGAGATGGTGGCCAGTCCAATCTATACAGTAAGTTCAAAGCCAACTGAGACTACAGGGACAGTCTGTCTAAAAATACAAAAATTTGTATTGATTTGATCGTTTCATAAAATGTATTTTGATCAATTCAGATGACCTCCCCACTCTCCATCCCCTCCACTTTATATCCTTTAATATCATTTGTCTTTAAAAAAAAGTCCATTAAATCTTATATGTTTTCTAAACACTCTTAAATGTGGATCTTTCCTTGGAGTTTGGTCACCCACCAAGTATCCCAGCAAT